CCTCGCGAATTCCATATTAGACTTGGGCCTCCTATCCGGATTTCCCTCATGGGCCCATATATCCATTTCTTATCTTTCTGGTTTACCGATTTCACTCGGTTCCAGTCCCTATTTCTCAAGCGTTTAAAAGCACGTACTCTGTCGACGCTGGTACTTATGATAAATAGTAAAGTAGAGGACTTCGGATAAGGTTCGTCCAAGTAAGTCCCCCGACAGCACGACAGGAATGTGAAAACCAGGTCAACTTACTTCTATACCACATAGTTTCCAAATTGTATAAATTCCAATTCAATGATTTCTTGCACATAAGCCTCATTTGAGCCACAAATAATTTTCTCATTAAAAAAAACTATTTTATAGCTCTGACCAGGATTCTCCTCGTCTTCGCATTTACGACGCTCGCAGTCCAGGCGAAATGATTCACAGTCTTGATCGGCTTCATGATCGGCCTGTTCTCTGCATTGTCTTCAATCCTGTCCTACAGGTCGTCGTCTCAGCTGATCCTTCGGGTATGCTGGAGTGTTGGGGGGGCCCGCGACACAACTACGAGCTCCCGACTGGCTGCTTTCGCTGGAAGTATAAATCAGATTCTGATCTCTACTGCCTTTTCGCTTTAAAAACCCATGCAGTCTCACTAGCGGTATCCCCCAATGGAAAGCTATTGGCCTGTTTATGTGAGGATAGAAAGGTGAGATTCTTTTTGATAACAATCATTCATAAAATGTGTTCTTAGATGATTTTATTTATTCAATATTTTGTAAGCATTTTCCCAAACGAGAACCTTTGCATGTGCTCTTCGAATTGATTTGCCAATCCTCTCTCGCAAAGCCTTTTGAATAGTTTTTCATTAAATTGTTGAAAGCCGGTCAGTGAAATAAATAGCATATATTATTTTCAAAGCTTTTTTCCCTGTTGATTGGAGACATAGTCATTTAATCTTCTCTTTCACTTATCTTTTGTATTTTATGTGTGACGCTAGCTATTTATTTCCTACACGTCCTTTCCCAATATCGACTGTCTCATTTTACTTACGTTGCCTTTACACGTTTTGTGTTTATCCTGTGTGCCTTTTACAAAAAAATTGCAGGTGCGAGTTTTGCGGTTTGTAACGATGAAACTGATGGTCGTCTATGACGAAAGCTTACAGCAATACTCTGAAATGCAATCGGTGAGGGCATTTGTTTATTTATTAATTATTTGCACCGTTCAATAAAGATTAAGTCGCTTATATTATATACCTGCGCATAAAAACATACTATTTCACTATATTCTGATATTGAATTTTACTTACACCAAATATTGACCACAGCTTTTACATAAAAGAAACATTTTTTAATGTTATAAATATCAGCCATTACTACTCCGGTGTCCGAATTTGCCATCTTTATTTAACAATTATGAAGGCCCAAATAATAGGTTAAACGCCTGCTCCATTAAAAGTAATAGATTGTATATGTGAGGTCTAGTCTTGATCGAAGTAAAAACGAAGAGACTCAAACGGAGAGCTTAATAACGGAAATGCTGAATAACTTTAAGTTTGACTTTTAAATCGTGTGAATGCAAGAATAAAAAGAGCTTCGAGATTACCTGCTAACATAGTTGGCCTGCGATCTGTTTGATTGCTCATGTTTTGATGCTTTTGCGCCAAGTTAGGATTGTCAAGCTAATTGATAGGCTTTCCCAAATAGCCCTGAAGGCTCATCAAAGCTCCCTCTAGATGGCCATTTCCTAGGTAAATAAGCACTTTCATTCTGAATATTTGTTTCACTTCAACTGGGAGGTCAGTATTGTTCTACTCTGAACAGAGGATTTTTCAATACTATTTGAATCATCCATGCATCAATCTATCCCTCAAGCTTTGTTTCTATTTTTCTTTAGTTCAATTAAGTCTTTTTATCCTCCCGTCATCCTCAATTCAATGAACTCCGTTACATTATAAATTTACATCTATTGCAGAATAAGCAAATTCTTCCTTCCATGGAATTTGGTCGTCGCCTTGCCCAGGAAAAGGAGCTGGATCGTCTAGACGCCAAGTACCTTGTAAATCTTGGTAAGTGCCACTTATCTACTTGGCTCCATGCCTACACTTTTTTGCGCTTTTTTATAGAGAGATGGAGCAATATGTGTACTCGTGAATAGGAAGACCAAGATGGTGTGGCCTTTTGTATGATCGCAGTCTCCTTTCGTTGTATAGAAGTTGTTTGACGTTGTTTTCGCATCTCGGTCATATTGGTAGGAAGACTTAGATTAAAGCTTCTTGTCCATAGTCCATTGTATGCATCATCATTTC